ATTTTGAGATATATCAGCCACAAATGGCCTAACGCGACGATCCAATTTTCATGTTGTAGAAAGGATAGGTACGTGGATGATATAGACAATCGATTTTTACTGTCTTTCTCTAATAGATACAGCTACTGTTTTGTAAACAATACGCCTTTTTTACTTTCCCAAACAACGTCTATACAGTGATGATATTCATCTAACTAAAATTGATAGTAGTATTCCCGCCAAAAATATGAAATATATCCAAAGAGCCGTCAATTTAACACATAAATAGCATGCGCAACTCATACGTAAACGGCTCAAAGGCTTATTTCGTTTATGAATCTTTCACTATAGAAATTCCATCCACAATATTTTTAGGTCTATTGACCTCAAATTCATACAATGATTTGATGGAGCGGAACCAGAAAAAAAGCCATTTTCGTCCATTGCGAATTGCGTAAAACAAATAGTATACTATATTCGTCGGATTGATTAATTCAGTTGTGATTGTGATACAACTGTGCCAAAATTGGTAAGTTGTTTTTTTCCGCCAAACGTAGCAGAGCTGGTTAAGTGGTTTGATGAGACCTACGTTTGTGGTCGAGTTTGGTTGTTAAATACAAGAGAGGTGACGGTTCCACCGATTTTTCCACCAGAGTTCTGGTCTGTACATGAGAATTATCTAAATGGGATTCCAAGGACCCAAAACACAATTGAGGGGTGGCATAGGAGGTGGCCGGTAATCGTCGGAAAATATCACACTTTTGTGTCTTTTGTTTGCTCAAAAAGAACAAAGAAGAGTTGAAGTAGAGATAAAGGCAATATTGTTTGGGCAGCCATACAAAACAAACGAGAAAAAAAGTATTTACAAAAAGAGGATAGGATAGCAAATGTCATTGCAGAACATGAAAATAGAAGTAGAATTAAACTTTTACTTGACATAGCATACAGTATATCATACTAGGCCCTATTTTTTCTATGTTTTACTATAACTTATCATTATGCAACTGTTTTTTATTTAAATAAAAATGAAACATGTCTGTTAGTTGTAGTTGGTCACTAATGCTCATCTAGTTTTTTGTGTGTGTCTATGTTGTAGTGTGTCAGTTACTATAGAGAAATCACTGCTGTAGTAGATCTGTTCTTTTTTTTTACAAAACCACAAGGTGCAAAATACTTATTTTTCTCTGTTTTTGGTCGGATTTTGGGCTCTCTAAACGGCCTACTTCCTCCAGCATTGCAGGGTCTGGCGGTACATGCTAATTTCAAACACATGTCTAAAATTGGATTTTTTTTTAAAATTGGAAAAATAAAAGAAATAAAAGGGGTCGGCGTGGTCGAGTCGGTAAAAAGCTCATGGTTGCTAAACCGAACAGTCTCGAGTTCGAACCCTTCGGCAGATGAGGCTCGTTAGCTGGGGACAGCCACTCTTCTAGGAGAGACAACTCCAAAATCAAACAACTGCTGCCTTGTAGTTTGTTCTTGGTTGGACAAAGGCTATGGAAGCAAATCCAGAAAGAAAAAGCAGGCTGAAATCGAAGTCAGATAAGGCTCGATCCCTCCCATCACTAAAAATTAAGAACGAAGAAGAAGAAGAAGGAAAAATATAATTTACAATAATAAGCGTTTAATAAATGCACTGAAAATATGAAAATAAAAGAAACTTCCATTTTTTAAAAATAAAAGCTCATATAAGTATGAGATCTAGTGAGCGACTAAAGATTTATTCAAACAGAGCAAGTTTGTTTTATTTTCTTCTTTAACTTTAAAAGCTTTTAAATGAACGTCGTACTAACTCGAGCCCTGGATCCAAACTCGAGACCTTCGGGTTAGCAATCAAACGCTCTACTATTTGACCACACCGTCCCTCGAGGTATGGACGTTCCATATTTGTCTTGAGTCCTCTGATCTAAATTATTCACGAAAATCAAACTCAAACTTTGAAAGAACAAGCAGGAATATGATAGAAAAAATTGAAATAAAAAATGTATATAAAAAGTGACAGCAGAGTTTCTTCCAGGCATCTCTTCGGGGGGGGGGGGGGGGGAAGAAACACTGAATAACAGCACAAGAAACCAATTGAGAAACGATAACAAAAGACTTAAAATGTATCAAATAGTAGTATCATAAAGTAATATAAACTATATTGATTTCATATTATGTATTTAAATAAAATCATAGCATGCCAATATATAAAATAAACCGGGAGTGATCTCCCCTAAACTTTCTCGAATATTCTAATATAAAATTACGAGGGATGGCATCTCAGGACATAGACAATATTTGTTATCCATTTTTAATTACTTAGACTTTTTATAATAGAATAGAATCTCGTAAAAAAATAAACCGGGAGTGATCTCCCCTAAACTTTCTCGAATATTCTTATATAAAATAACAGGGGATGGGAACTCGAGCTATAGACATGATTTTTAATCCATTTTAAATACTTAAAGTTTTAAAAATAGAATAAAATCTCGTAGACAAATTAATTGCACACCAAGTGAACGCCAAATAAAAAAGCGCATAATGGTGCGCAATATTATTATTACTTTTAAAATTTACATTAGTTTTTTGAGAAATCGGAAGTAGCGTAAAGTACTACTTCCAGTCAACGGAAATGACTCAAAATTTAATAGAAGGTAGAGAATTAGATCTTTTACTTACCTATGAAATTTCATTTATCTATCTGAAATAGTACTCAAGTTATAGGCTTTTGAAAAATTCAAAGTAGGAAAAGTACCACTTCCGGTTATCGGAAATCGCTTAAAAAGTTGATACGGATCAACGATTTTGATAAAATACTTATATATGAAATGTCATCAACCTAGCTGTAACGGTACTCAAGTTATCGTGTTTACACACGGACAGACAGACAGACACACAGACAGACACACAGACACACAGACATACGGACAAGATTGCAAAATTATGTTTTTCCGTATCAGTGAGGCGTGAAACGTCGAGATTTGTAAAAATCTCTTTTTTTTTTTTTGCACGATTACAAGACTTTCTCTATAGCCTACTTCGTATATACGAGAAAGTAAAAAGAATTGCACACCAAGTGAAAAGTTTCCCTTTCAAAACTGACGGTCTATGGGGCAAGTGAAGTAGAGTCCACTTGTTTCTGTGACCTCGGCATATGAAGAGACAGTGTGGTCAGCACTATGCCCAGCCGCCTTTACTTTCCCTAACAGGAGTTAGGTACCCATCAGAGTTGGGTGGACTCAGGGACGGTCTACTGACTTGAACTCGGATTCGAACTCGAGACTAACGGGTTAGAAGTCCAGCTCTCTACCGCTAGACCACTCCGTCCCACACCAAGTGAACGCCTAATAAAATGTGTATAAAAGTGCGAGATATTATTAGTACTTTATAAATTTACATGCGTTTTTGAGAAATCGGAAATAGCGTAAATTAGTAATTCCGGTCAACGGAAATTACTCAAAATTTGACAGAAGGTAGAGAATTAGATCATTTACTTACGTGTGAAATTTCATGCATCTATCTATAAAGTACGCAACTTATAGGCTTTTGAAAAATTCAAAGTAGAAAAAGTACCACTTCCGGTTATCGGAAATCGCTCAAACGTTGATCAGGATCTACGATTTTGATAAAATACTTATATATGAAATTTCATCAACCTAGCTGTAACGGTACTCAAGTTATCGTGTTTACACACGGACAGACAGACACACAGACAGACAGACAGACACACAGACAGACACACAGACACACAGACATACGGACAAGATTGCAAAATTATGTTTTTCCGTATCAGTGAGGCGTGAAACGTCGAGATTTGTAAAAATCTCGATTTTTTTTTTTTGCACGATTACAAGACTTTCTCTATACTTCGTATATACGAGAAAGTAAAAAGAATTGCACACCAAGTGAAAAGTTTCCCTTTCAAAACTGACGGTCTATGGGGCAAGTGAAGTAGAGTCCACTTGTTTCTGTGACCTCGGCATATGAAGAGACAGTGTGGTCAGCACTATGCCCAGCCGCCTTTACTTTCCCTAACAGGAGTTAGGTACCCATCAGAGTTGGGTGGACTCAGGGACGGTCTACTGACTTGAACTCGGATTCGAACTCGAGACTAACGGGTTAGAAGTCCAGCTCTCTACCGCTAGACCACTCCGTCCCACACCAAGTGAACGCCTAATAAAATGTGTATAAAAGTGCGAGATATTATTAGTACTTTATAAATTTACATGCGTTTTTGAGAAATCGGAAATAGCGTAAATTAGTAATTCCGGTCAACGGAAATTACTCAAAATTTGACAGAAGGTAGAGAATTAGATCATTTACTTACGTGTGAAATTTCATTCATCTATCTATATAGTACGCAACTTATAGGCTTTTGAAAAATTCAAAGTAGAAAAAGTACCACTTCCGGTTATCGGAAATCGCTCAAAAGTTGATCAGGATCTACGATTTTGATAAAATACTTATATATGAAATTTCATCAACCTAGCTGTAACGGAACTCAAGTTATCGTGTTTACACACAGACACACACACAGACACACAGACATACGGACAGAATTGCAAAGTCCCGTTTTTACGACTTGATAACGCATAAAACGCCAAAACGTTTATATATTTGTATTTATAATTTTTGCCTGATTAAAAAAAGTCCTCTATACTCCGGATGTGATGAAGGACTGAGGAGTAAAACGGTGAAAACTGTCAAAATTTCACGTTATTTTTGTGCACGATTACAATACTTTCTCTATACTTCGTATATACGAGAAAGTAAAAATCTTGAAATGTTAAAAAGAAATTGATAGAAATTATAATTAAAACATACAAATTTAAATACAATCTACAGAGTGACAAAAAATTATTTATGCAATTTAAACGTAACTTTGTTCTGTTTATTACACACTTTTGATAAATCTATTAAACTAAATTTTCGAAATCAAGAAAACAGAAAACTGTAATTAAGTTTTAATGTCATAAAACAAATCTAATAAAAATCTGTAACATTTACATATTGTAAAACAATATTAAAACAATATCAAACTACTTATCATTTCTAATAGCATGTAGTAGAAGTGTCCAGAAAGTTTGGTTATTTCTGTAGACCAGACACCTGTACAGCTGATTCCTTAAATAAGTTTCTACTTCAGGTGGGTATGTATTCAAGTCGACCCTCTCAACAAAGACAGGAACGATAACCTGACCTCGTACATTGAACTCTCGCATGATGGCCAGGTTCATCTCATACTCTCGGTAGTGATCCAAGAAAATATCTTCAGACAACAAGACCAGCGTTTTTCTTGAGCCAGTTATAGCTCCACTGATGTGTGACACCATGTCCCCACCTGGAAAGTCCACTTCTCCTAAAATGTAAGAGATGTTCTTCTCTCGCAAGAATGGTAGGATAATATTTCTTACAATCTGTCGGATTCTAGGCTCACCCTTTGGAAAAAAAAATATCGAATGAAAAAAAACTCATTAGGTGTTTCACACATAATGAGCAATAGGTGTAAATATATTATTGTAAATTTATTTTTAAAAGTATTAAATTACGCGTAATTAGCAAATCATTTAATTTATGTACCTGTACAAATTTATTTGAATCAATGTATATTTGAAATAATTTACATTTTAATTTAGTTTTAATACTAAGTAAATATATCTGAGGAATTAATTTAGCATGTATTGTACCTCATCATAAGTGATGAAGATATCAACCTGTGGGTTGTAGTTGGCAAAACGTCCACCGATGTGCAGCCGCCGTTGACCAATAAAGTAGAGGTACCTCAGCTTCCAGCGGTAATAGAAAAACACGGCCAGAACAATCAAACACAGGAGATGGGTGAAAAACACTGACAGCACATAGCTGAAGATTTCTTTTATCTGACAGTTTTTTGTTAGTCTTGGAAGTTGTGCAACCATTTCCTTGTAGTTTAAATACGTATTGTCTTCCTTTATGAACGTCATTTCGTCTTCGTTCTCAAACAATTGTGTGTTGGTCACCAATAAATGTAGACTTTGAACGTACGTGCAGCTAAATTGAAACTTATTATCAGACAAATCTACTAGAAAATTAGGATTAACCAATTTTAATCTCTTCAGCTCTTCCCACATTTCACCTGATAGACCAGGTAAACGGTTGGAAGACAAATCTAAATATGTCATGTTCAAATGTCTTAGTGTGTATGCCTCGAAAAACGTCAATAGATTTTGACTTAAATATAATCTTTTAAGATTTTTCGGAAAATAAAATGTTCTTGATATAAAATCTATGTTACATTCATTCATCCTTAAGTCTTCGAGCTTTGCCAAATCTGTTCTTAGCCAGCTGTCGTCTAAATTTTTTCCACATAGTCCAGTACCACCAGAACTTGACAGTCCTAGAACACGGAGATTTTTCATCCCTTCAAATATGTTGTTCTTAGTGTCTTTTATCATATTATAAGAAAGATCCAACTCTTCCAAATTAGATAATCCGTTGAACTTAGAATAAACTCCTTTTTTGGGTCGATATGTCTTGCTCTGATGTAATCTATAAAGAAAAAAAAACTATAAGCGATTGAACAGGTGGTGTGTAAGAATTGGAAGATGTATAGTTTACATTATATTACTTACATAAAAACAGTGTGTTTATTGGCTTGTATTTTATAATGTAATTTTTTGAGCGAGTTTTTCTTCGAATATCTCAGGGCATTAATGAGGCAATCTACAGGATATTTGTAGGCGTCAGTGGCTATTGTCTCCAACGTTGGGGGAACACGTAAATATTTAGTTTCTTCATCGAAGGTAATTTCATTTCAAGCAATTGATACATTTTTTGATTTGAGTTTCTATAAACAATTCCAAAACATGTTCTAAATTAAACACGACACCTGATAGATCCATTACATTCTGTATCGAAAACCCCTGCACGTTTTTAACAGATGGATTGCGTCAAAAATTTGTTGTAAAGTAAGTCGTCTAAAATGGATCCACATATTATAGTACCACTAGCACCTCTTCAAATGTGTTATAACCTAGGCTATTGTAAGAAACGTACAACTCTTTCAAATTAGATAATCCATTAAACTTAGATTAATCTCGTTTTTTTTAGTCTTGTTCTGATGTAATCTGTAAGAATTTTTATTTACTATAAACAATAGAACAGATAGGTGTGTAAGAATTGGAATATATAGTTTACTATGTATTACTTACAATACAACATTTGGTTTCCAATGTGGTCTTTTAAAATGTAATCTTGTGAGCGAGTTTTCTGGCGAATGTCTCAGGGCATTAATGATGTTATTTACATACAAATGGGCATCTGTAATCAGTGTTTTCAACGTTGGAGGGACTCTTAAATATTTAGTTTTTTGTTTGAAGTTAACTTTATTTCCAGCAATCGATAAATTTTTTATTTGAGTTTCCATAAACAATTCCAAAACATCTTCTAAATAAACCGTGTAAAGTGATTCATGAGTTAATTTTTCTATCGAAAACTCCTGCACGTTTTTGAACAGATGGATTGAGTCAAAAATTTGTTGTAAATTTAGGTCTGTTTCATCAAGGTTCAGGCTTGACAACGTTGATCTCATCACAAAAGATGTGTTGGTAAAGCTTGAAAGTGGGCAGCGTGCCAACGAAATAGATATATTTTGCTCTGATTGTATGTTTTCAAAATAATTATTACACAAGTGAGTAAGATAGCATTTATAGGTTTCGTTGAAGAATATTGATTGGAGACGTTTTAGCTTCCGAAATCCGGGACCCAATTTACAGTTAGTACCGGGTATTGCTAGTTCTCTCAAGTTTGTCAACACTGACAACGCCTTGTCGGGTAAACACGGGGAGGTCTCATTGAAATGGCTTGAACCTGAAATGTAAAATATTGATTGGACTTAAAGATTTTACTGGTTGAGAATTCCAAAGTTTAAGCTTTTAGTATACATTATTTTTAAATTGTGGGACATTGAAATCATTTGGACAATTGACCGAATGAGACAAACGCCCGCAAGCCACTTGCCCGAAAACAAACAAATTATATATTATAGATTATCCAGAGGACATTCTAAACAAATTTGATTAACCATTTAAATCAGTCTAAACATAATTCTAACACAGTCATCAGCAGAAATGCTCTAAACGGAAGTTTGCTTATATTTTTTGATGCACTAAAAAGGAGAAAAAATAATTTTCTTTAAACATTGTAATAATACACTACAATTTAAATTTCTATTTAAAAAGCATGGTTCTCTTCCTAAATATTAGTAAAGGTATCCAATAGATAATATAGTGACCCTCACTTTTCTTTATTATAATTTAGATAGGAGTGTATTATTGTATATTTTAACCACTTATAACTGACCGAATCGTTTCAAACTTGGCCCGTGGGTCACGATCAGATGACAATGCAATATACCATCAAGTTTGACTAAATTCGAAGCCTAATTTATTTTTAAAGAATTAATGAATGTTTCCTAAATAACGTTTTATTTTCCGCACTATTGTGTATACATTTGTTCTGTTCAATTGTTTTTAGTAATGCAAATCTATTGTATTGAACATTTTCATTTACCAGGAATTTTTAAAGAGATTTTTTAAAATAACTAGCTTTTATGTAAATTATGCACTAAATTTTTTTTCTTCCTTTAAATATATGACAATGCACCACTATTTAAATAGCTATAAAAAAATCGTGGGACACTGTTATGTATTGAATAAATATAATTTACTAAAATTTAAGAAGCTACCTATATTTTTATTTCTAGTTAGCTTAATATTATATTTAAAGAATATCATTTATTTTCTCATTTTTAGTGCATAATTATATAATTGCTTGTTATTTTTGAATCTATATATATATAAAGCAATGTATGTGTGTTTGTCTGTCTGTCTGTCTGTTTTTTTTGTCCTTTATGCATTACTACACCTCTCATCGAATCGCCGTGAAACTTTGGGAAATTGTTGAGAATATTCCTGGGGAGGTTTCTGCGAAAAAAAAATTTCAAACTCGCAGGGCGCGATTTGTTTTTCTCTATATACGGTATATATAAAAATAAAAGTCTATTTTGATTTCACACTGTTCATCCGATAGCTATGAGACTTTGGGGAGTTCATTATACAACTCTAGGGAAGGGTTCTGTAAAAAAATAATTTTTAATTTCGCAAGAGCGGCACCAGGGGAGGGTCCGATTTTTTCTCTATTTACGGTATATAAAAATAAAAGTCTATTTTGATTTCACACTGTTTATCCGATAGGCATGAAACTTTGGGGAGTTGATTAGAACACTCTAGGGAAGGGTTCTGTAAAAAAATATTTTTTTTTTAGTTTCGCAAGGGTGGCGCCACGGAATTTGGGGATTTTGCTCTATAACAGGAGGCTATTTGGCACGTTAGTTTTAAGGAGCAGGGGCGGTTTGCCGCGCCTATGCGGTAGTGTAATCGGGGGTAGGGCTCCTGAGAGCGCCCATCTACGTCTCTGACACATGGGTGGTCACCGAAGTGTGTTCTACCATATTATTTCGGTTAGTGATTAATGTACACTCTAGGTTTTCATGCGGTAGTGTAGGTAAACCCGTGTCCCGAAATTTATGATCCAAGCGCAGGCATTGTTTACATTTAAATAACTCACTTTTAGTAAAGGTCACGCGTCTAAGAACATATGATTGGTAACGCGTTGGCGAAATCCTTCTAATATATTTCGTCTAACTTTCTTCTATCCCCGCGGCAACGCGCGGGGGACGGGTATGCTAGTATACAATAAAGTTTAGGGGTGATCACTCCCGCTTTGTTTTTCTTGTAATAAGAAAAAATCAAAATGACCGTGGTACTTTTAGTGAAACTACTGCTGACAAAAAAAGCGAACCAAAGAATACAGTAACTATGGCGCGTTTTATTTTTTTTTAATATTTAGACGTTTTGTATTAGATCTATGTATAAGAAAACCATCTTACATGAAGGAAAGTAGGCTACAAGTAAGAAAGAAATATTACTATTGTAAATCTGTATAAGTCCTTACAAGCCGATGATGAAAACTGTAATACTAAAGTGAACACACAACTGACGCTGTAAATTATATGTCTGAGGCGGGGGAAAAAAAAGAAAAAAAATCATCTCATCGGTATGCTTTATTTTTGTAAAATTAAATTTCTCTTCTGTGTGAAAATGAAATGCTACTGTTAATGTTTCCACCTTCATAGTTTCAATGTAGTTTCAGTTTGGGAGGGGCGAGGTGTTTTTATAAAGGAGTCGTCCATAAATGACGTCACACTCGTAAAGGGGGGGGGGGGGGGAAGGGTCCGTAATTTTGTGACGGTGTGTAATGAGGGGGAGGGGGGGGGGGGGTTCAGATCGTGCGACGTCACACTTTTGCATTATAAAAAAGCAATGTTAGAAAACGAAGACTGAGAATTGACGTTATTTTAGGGGCAGGGGGTCTGGCTTTTTGTGACGTGTGACGGAGGGGAGGGGGGGGGGGGTAAAAATCGTAAAAAAAAGCGTGACGTCATTTATGGATGACCCCAAAGATAGTGGAGGGATGAAAATGTTTTGGAAACATTGGGCTGGAAAAAGAGGCAAATTTCTTGTGGCTAATTTCATGTATCATACCTTCTGTTTGACTGGTCGTTGAAATAATTCCTGAACTGTATTTCTTAAACGGAAATTTAAGAGAATAATAAAACTCGAAATTAGTTAGCGACTCAAGTCCAGCGAAAGTGTTGTCAGAAATGTTTGTAATTGAATTTTCTTCTATTCTTAATTCTTTTAAGTTGGCCAAACCGGCGAAAATACCATCCTGCAAGCGTGTCAGAGTATTATCATATAGCACCAGATATGCTAAGCTTTGTAGGTTCATAAACAGATTAGCTGGAAGTTCTGCAATTGTATTGAGTCCTAGCACTAGTTTCCGTAATGAAAAACGCTGTGCCTGGAAATATTCCTCACACGTGTCAAAGCCCGCAAAGAGGTTGAGTTCCAAGAAATCCAAATGATTTAAGTTGTCGAAAACGTCACACTTGAGAGTGTACATTCCATCGGCGTTTAAAGTTAAATCCTTGGTATTAGATGGCAACTGCGGACAATTAAAAAAACATTGGCAATCAAGTGTAAGTCGTTCATCATTGTTAAGACACAGACAATCATTTGGACAAGTCTTTTTTACTTCCGCATCGTGATAGTTCCATATTCGCTTAGAGTTTGAATTATTATAAGAAATAGCATAACTTATACCTAGAATAAAGAACAAATTCAATAAAATCAGTAGCAAATGCGTAATAGTTGAAGATAAAAAATATCCCATTTTCTTATGCAGTAACAACAATAAAATCGCGTACTTTTCTAATACAGTTTCTTTTCCAAACGATGGTACTGCTGTCTTGCACAATGAATAAATACAAAAATAAATTTAAAATTATGGACTAGGATGTGTTGTGTTAAGTAGTGTTAAGTGTTGGTGGAGTTATAATTCATTTGTTTCTGATTTGACGTGATTTCTTCGTGTGGAGATACGATAGCCATCTCGCTGTGTAGGGGAGGGATGTGTTTATTTTCATATACGTGCTATAGTTATAATGAAATGGGGGGGGGGGGTATTCTAACTTTACATCTCTCGTTTCGAACAAGTGCACTGCGCCAAATGTAACTGCAATAATGGGAGGATAAATATTTAAAACTAATTCAAATTTTAAAAAAAATGCACTAATCCCTTATGTCTTATGAATACTTATTGAAATACAAATAACAAGTTGAATGCAAACTCTTATCAAAACATTATAAATGCCGTTACGAATGCGGGAATTTCAATCCTTAAAGGGAGTTGATTAACAGGGCATACCTTTAGACACTTTGGTTTATAAGCCATTGCGCTGTATGACCAAGATACATTACAAGTAGTGTTTTTAAGACATATTTCTCCGGGGGTGGGGGGGTGGGGTGAGGGGGTGGAGTGAGGGGAGGTGGGGGTTTCCATACTCTGGACACACTTATCTCCACTCTCACCTACTAGACACTACACCACCTCCATTCACCATACAAAGCCACCACTCCCTCACAAAACCACCAGAATTTCACCATCCTCTCCCATTGTCAAGTGATTTGGCGTTCCTGTTATTCTCTCGACTCCTGCATTTAATCATGTGTTCTTTAGTTTAAGGGTTTTATATATACACTAATGTTCGGAGTTTTAAGATAATATAAATTTAATAATTACATTAAAATCTTCTAAAACGCGTTATAACTACTAAGAATTATGGAAAAAACTTCTTAGGTTAAAAGGTAAAGATGTGACTTGGGTTAAAATGTGAAGTTTGTGACTCAGGTTAAAATGTGAAGTTGTGAAGCCCTACATTCTCAAAATTTTCGACCCAAGTCATGAATGTGACGCCTTTTATGGACGCCGCTTTAATTGAAACCATACATTCATCACATGTCACGACGTATGTTATTGACAATATATCATTAGATATTTTCAAACAGTAAAATATTTTGTTTAGTATTGTTTTGAATATTTTTTTTACAAATAAAGTACATTCATCTTAACAGACAAAGTGAAATTAGAAAAGCTGGCAGATCAGCTTTAATTGTGGAATATGGCGTGTTGGTAACATCATTAATATATACTACTTTAGGCTTTTTAAATCATTTTTGGTGCTTAAAACAAGTATACATTATAGTAGTGTGTAGTACCAATAGCGTACAAACAATTGTGGACATTGGATAAAACTGTGCTGGTAAATCTGCTTTAACTAGTTAATTTAAAAAATTACAAATGCTTGATACATATATTTTAAGTATATGGTAATAACCCACCAAGAAATGGGGTGACACTAAAATTACCAAATTTTTAATATCTAATTAGTTCTGGGGATGTTATACACTGAGATACTAAACCGGGTGTCACTTGAACACATGAAGAAATTTATTGACAAGGGTTATTTTTTTATCAATTACACAAGAGCGTGAAGGTGTTCGCAAAGAACGTGCTGATAGACGGGATAATGAACTACAGGCCTATCAGCATGCGTGGTTTAAGCCCTTTGGTTTTTGTCGCTTCCTTGAATTGTGTCACCCTCTTGGATGTCGACTTGAATACACACCCACCTGAAGTAGAAACTTATTTAAGAAATCAGCTGTACAGGTGTCTGGTCTACAGAAATAACCAAACTTTCTGGACACCTCCGCTACATGCTATTAGAAATGATAAGTAGTTTGTTTGACAATTTATACTTTTAAGATTTATAATGTGTTACATTATTTTCTGTAAAATTACACGAATGTCGGTTTTGCACTTATTGGTTAAATGTTTTATTTAGAGAATGACATTTCTCATCTTTAACGATTCAGGATTTTAGATTGAGTTCTTCACAAATAATTTCGCTCAGTATACCTCTACATCCCAATTTCTCCCATTTATGGAATATAACGGTTATATTTTAAGTGAATATACTCACAGGGAACAGGCCATGAGTCCTGTCAATATCTATCGTTTGTTAGAAATACTCCCCACCCCCCACCCCCCCCCCCCCCACCTCCACCACCCCAAATGAATCACTTCTTACCAACCTGTTGATTACGAAAGAATTAATTGATTTAAGCAATTCAATAAATAAATAATAAATATTAATTATTTTCACAGTCATTTTAGCGTAAATGCAAATAAAAACAATAGTACAAAGTTCCTTCCAGACATCTCTTCGTGAGGGGGGGGGGGGGAGTAAGAAACTCTACCGTCCCCCCCCCGAACGAAATGGAATTTATATAGAAATCATATAGTTTTACCAGTGTCCTCCGCTTCACACCCTTAAAATGCAGGCCGCCCCCCCCCCCCAACCCCGAAACGAAAATTTCAAGCGGAAGAAACACTAAAGAAGTGACGCTTCACTGTGGCGTCTGGGGGAGAGTGATAAAAAATGTGTAAAGTGTCTAAATCAACAAAACTATGCTGTCTCTTGATTGCAATTCGTAAGTAGGCCTTACTTAACAGATGTCAATGTTTTGTTAGATAGAAATGTAAATCTGAGAATAAATGATAAGAACAGAAAAACTTTCAGCAAGTATGACACATCTTTTGATACAAGAATCTATGAGGGCTCGCAAGTTGTCAGCTATGTGTCATATCTATCACGTGATCTCCGTGCTAAGTAAAGCAGTTTTACAGCGTGCTGTTTTTAATCTGACATATCTAGATTTCCTTTTTTTACATCCTGTCCGCCAGTGGCATGTTCATGATGATCAGTTTTTTTTTTTAAAGAGGCGAACTGGAAAATGCAAGACTCGGTCATGTTAGTAGCCGGAAGTTTAGAATATTAAAAAATGCTGCAACGAACTTAGATCTTATAGCTTGATATTTAAAAAGAAATATAGAAATCTTTTGCATTCTGTAACACTCGCTACGCCATTAGTAATAACGAGAATTAACTTTTCCAACTGTTGAACAGTTAGGTTTTGCAATGTTGTAATCGGTTGGGAAACATAACGCACTACTATTTTAATTTGGTAAAAACGTTGAGCTTGGCAGAATACACATTAATTTACGTAAATTTAAGTGACAAAAAGATCTTCACGCGCCGGATTAGAGGGCTTCGCGTGCCGTAGTTTATAGACCCCTGGTTTAAAGGAAAGTTAAATTATATTTAAATTATAAAGAAAATTAATCTAATTTAAAATTGTTAATTTTTGCTGTGTAGATAATTTAAAAGGAAGAAATCTGATCCTGTATTATATTTACAATCAATTTTTTTTTCTTTTGCCGCCACATTGATTATTGTTGCGTAAAATTATTGTAAATATTAGTAGTTACTTTAAACATTTAAACCGATTTACCTATTAACTGTATGCGCTGTTACATTACATGTAAGAGACAATTACGATTATTGAAACGAACATAATTAATATTTTGGTGGCTCTACTAGCATAGGCATGTGGCGGGATAATGTTGGGTTTTGTTCGGATTGCAGTGCATTGTTATAGAGTTGAAGTTGTAGTGTTGGGGTGCGTTTTTTTTAATTTTCTCTTCACTTATCCTCTCTCCTTAAGTCGTTTTTTTTTTATTTTAAATTTAATATTTGTTTAACGAGAATTGCAATAAGAACATTAGTTTTAGGTTCAGTATTTTTTATCCTCCAAAATTTGCACTGCAGAGTTATACATCATGGCGAAGCATTGGTGTAAAGCTTGTTTATATTTATACATATATGTGGATGGTTAGGTCGGATGAAAGAGCTTCTGACCGCTGACCCGCAAGTCAGCGTTCGCATCCTTGGCTTGAATTCAGAAAGAAAACAGCTCTTACGTTTTTCCTTTCGCCATAAGAATTGACAAAAAAATGTTGTAGACAGAAACAATCCATTAGATAGGGAAAATAACAATTAGTGCAGCATAGTTATAGAAGACAATTCCATTTTCTTTTGAAGTAAAGACACAATCGTGCTAAATTTCTTAATACAATTTTTTATATTATTACTAGCTTTTATTTCACTTGCTTTCTCTGTATGTCGTCAGTCTGTCTGTCTGTCTAGTTTGAAACGCCCCAGGCGAAATTTCTGACACTTCTAATTGACAGATTTGTTTCAACGTTAGACCGTAGGTTAAGACTAAAAGATCATGCAACATGACATTAAATTTGACTTAATTGTTTGCCTAATTAATTTTTTATGAATGAATTAAAATATTGACCAAATTAGTAGGTAGTCTCATCCAAATATTCCGCACTATTATACACGCGTCATCACGTTCTTTGGGTGCGCAATGGTTTTTAGTCATGCAACTCTATTGTAAATTTTAAAAAAATTAAAGTGCTGAAAAAAATTCATTAAAAACGTTTTTTAATAACAAGCTTTTATGTAATAATGCACTAAAAAGTAGAAAATAAATTTAAAAAACACTACTATTTAAATAATTATAAAGAAAAGCGTGGGTCGTTTTCTAAATTTTAGTAAAGTTATCCAATAAATACTAAAGTGACCCACGCTTTTCTTTATAGTTATTTAAATAGTAGTGTATAATTTGTTTTTCACTTCTTAGTGCATTATTACATAAAAGCTTATTATTAAAACTTTTTTATGTATTTTTTTTTCTTCAGACGTTGGTAAGGATGTCACGCACATTTCATGAAAACAAAATATAAAAATTTGAAATGAAAAGGATGTAGTTTGTTGAGTGCTGCTGATTGTTGATGGATACAAACAACATGTGTTTCCTGTTCAATGTGATTTCTGTTGCACCACTATCCGATAATAATCTAGCTATGAGGGTGAGAGGGTTCGGTAATTTCAATAGAAATTCTTAAGGGGATATGCGCGGAAAAAATCACAAAATTTCTTGTTTTTCGTCATGATGGGTTTCTTGCACTTTTGGATACTTTGTCCATTTTTGTATAAAGAAAATTATAACTTTAAAGAGAAAAAAATATTTTATGTGTTTGAATTACGATTTTCATGACCCTATTAATTAAAAAATAATCAATTTTTCCCAATCTTAAAAACTCTCTATGAAAAGTTTTATATCCGTCATTATATTGTATTTGACATCATTGGAAAGCTGGATTTCTCATGTATTTAATAAACTTAATTTCCTACATCTCGGAAACACCCAAAGCTTACAATCGGCTTTGCAGTTTACACAGATATGGTACTTTCCTGACCTAGTTTTCTTTACTTTTGGCTGTTTTTCTCAGTTCGCAGGTTTTTAACAGTTAAAAGCCTACTACTTTTTTATTTATTAAACAATGCCAACCATATTTTCAGTAAATGTTCTTGATGCAAAAATACAACTTTTGTCACAAGGGAATTGTGATTGCTTTCATAGAAAAAAAGTATTTGGTGATTAATATGCACATTTTGAAACTTTTGAATACTAAAAAGG